CAACCGGGGGTGGCAAAAAAAGTTTCACCCATCATGAATGTTGGGAGGTGGTGAAATATTGTAAACGCTTCATAATTATTCCCACGGGTCCCGACGTTGTGTTAAACGAGACGCCTCTCCGTGATGCAACGACATCGGATTCACCTATTGATTCCCCTATGAGTAAAGACTCACCCATCCAAAAGGAATCGAGGCCCATTGGCCGAAAGGCTGCGAAGGCAAAGAAAGCGGGTAATTCAAGCAATCATAATTCAAAGTTTTTGGAGGAAATTGCAAGGCAAAATGCCATAAGAATTGAAATGGAGCAGAAACGCCAAGATATGGAGATGGCAATTCAAGCCGAGTGTGCACGAGAAAATGAGTATTTGCACAAAAAAGATATGGAGAAGACGGATCGGGAAACTATGGCGATAGATACAAGCCATATGTCCCCTGATACAAAACAATATTGGAAGCTAGAAAGAAGGGAAACGAAGGGATGTTATAAGAAGAAAACTTTTTCGTGACGATGGACCTAGTAACACGAATTGATTAAATGATCAAAACCATTAAATTAGTTGGCATACCTTTTATTTATTTGTATTTTTCATGTTTTGTATTAAAGTTGTTGTAATTCATGTATTTTATTTTAGTAGTAGTAATTCTTAATGACTTGTATTGGATTTCTTTATTTAATAAACAAAGCATTCAATAAAAGACCATTTTATTCAACATATTCCATACATCAAACAAAACATAATTCAAAATTTTAAAAAAACTACAAACAAGGCACAATAATAAATAAATAAAACAACACAACCAAACTATAAGCAATAAAAAACAACACAACCAAACCATAAGTAAATAAAACATAACCAAAGCATCTATACTCCATCATTCATCTTCATTCCCGCTCACCACCCATAGATGCTCCATCAAGTCAAGTTGACGCCTTTCATGAATATACGAATATTGCATCTCTGTATATCAATCTATCATCCGGGTCATGAAACGATTGTCCCAAACCAACGGTTCCGGCTCAAACGGTTCTCCACTTGACCCCATGGGCCTTTCATAAATTCGGGTCAAGGCCGTGTTCATTGGATCCGGTTCGTAGACCTCTCCAGCATCATAATTGTACTCATCCTCCACAATCATATTATGGAGGATAATGCAAGTCATCATAATGCTTCGGAGGATCTCTTCATCAAACATACGAGCCGCACCTCGAACAATCAACCACCGAGCTTGAAGGATGCCAAAACACCTTTCGACATCTTTCCTGTATCCCTTTTGATAGGTAGCAAATAGTTTTTACTTCTGAGATCGGGGATTCGGAATGGATTTAACAAATGTGGTCCACCTTGGGTAAATACCGTTAGCTAGATAATACCCCGTCTGGTAGACTGTATTGTTGACTTGATAGGTAATATTGGGGCCTTTGCCTTTCAAAACATTGTTGAAGACCGGAGATTGACCCAGGACGTTGAGGTCATTTTGGGCTCTGGCAACTCCGAAGAAGGCATGCCAAACCCATGTGTCGAAGCCAGCAACGGCTTCCAGGATGATACTTTTTTGGCCTTTTCTATTTCCGTAATCACCTTGCAAGGCAGTTGGACAATTCTTCCATTGCCAATGCATGCAGTCAATGCTACCAATCATTCCTGGAAATCCTCGAGCTTCGGCTTTTTGTAGAAGCCGTTGGAGGTCCCTGGGAGTAGGTCTACGTAGGTAGTCCCTAATGTACAGATTTTCAACTGCATCACAAAATCTTACCAAAGCCTCCAACGTAGTAGATTTTCCCATTTGGGCAACCTCATCCACCTGATCAGCAGATGCTCCATACGCCAATATTCGTATAACAGCTGTAAGCTTTTGCTCCAGAAGAAGCCCCAAAACCCCAGCAGCATCACACTTTTGAACAAAGTATGCATCATAATTGCAAATATCATGCATGACTTTATTGAACAAATGAGGTTGCATTCTAAATCGCCTTCGAAAATCAACATCATAGTACAAAGAAGTTGGGATAAAATAATCTTCCAAAAGATTCTTACCCCGAGAATGCCTATGTCTGTCCACATTCGAGCCACGGCCGACTTGTGAACCACGACGAACCACGGCGATGACCTTGGTTTTCTTCCTCTTCCATTGCCACTGCTATGAGAACTTATTCATCGACTTGTCTCTGCAACTCATTGATTTCATCGGCTCTACGGTTTCTCTCATTTCTTTCTCGCTCTTGCCTCTCCAAGCATCTATTATATTCTGCCATTGAGAATGAATGGAGTATGAATTCTCAACTCCAAGAAATGAAAATATAGAAAGATGTGGTGTTAGAGGTATAGGTGGAGGAGCCTCTGGTTTTATAGAAAAATTTGGCAAGATAGAGATGTCACGTGGCTTGATTTCATTGGATGAAAATCTTATCTGAAATTTGAAATTCATCTGAAATTTGAACCTAAATTTATCTGAAATTTAAATTTTAAAATTCATCCGAAATTTGAACCCAAATTTATCTGAAATTTGAATTTTAAAATTCATTCGAAATTTGACCCAAATTTATCTAAAATTTGAATTTTGAAATTCATCCGAAATTTGAACCCAAAAATTTATATAAAATTTGAATTTTGAAATTCATCCGAAATTTGAACCCAAAAATCTTATCCCGAAATTTTATCCGATTATGAATACTCTTGACACGTAGGAACCCGGAAATCTTATACGAAAATATTATCCAAATCAATTATTGAGGTAAAAAAATTTGTGAATAAAACAAAAAAATGAATAGTAACTGCCCTTAGACATGGCAACGGGTGGAAACACAAAATACTATTTGCAACGGGTGAACCCATTTTTTTTTCCTTCTTTTTTCCTTTTCTTTTTCTTCTCCTTCTAAACTAAGCCATTTATCTTTTGTTCATCATTTCACCCTTCTAATCCTGCAAGCTGCAGACTTGTGTGAATCTGCAGAAAGCAAGAGTGTCACATTCACATGAACAGTTTTGGGGGTGTTTTGCCTTCTGGGTTCCAAAATTGGCAGTCAAAGAGAAAAGAAAGAAGAAAACGTTAAACGACTGAAATGAAATGCTAGTACTGTACTAGCTGTTCTTGACGTGTTTCTTTCAAAGTTTGATGCTTTCATCATGTTTGATACTTGATAGTGATTTCCACCACCAACCCTTTGGTTTATTTAATTCTTTTTGGTCTTTTGATTGCAGCTTCCAAGCAGAGCCCACTTGAGAAAATGTGTGGGAATTTTGCCAGGTTCAGCTCAGACCTGAAATGAAGCAAACTGGTTGAGTTTAGGTGAATGAATTTTGTATAGTTGGTGTTGTTTTCATCAGCCTTCTGCAAAAAATGATTCTCTTTTTCATGAGTTTCTGAAAGGATGATGATGATGAAGAGAGATTAGATCAGAAAAAGGAGGGGGTAGCTGTTAGTACATGATGGGATTCTTCTGCTTTCTTTTGCTGTGTGTTTTTCACTTCTACCTGCTCCTAAGTTTGGCCTCAGGCGCCAGAAATTTGTCTTCATCTCAACAACTACAACAAGAACAAAGCCAGAGTGATGATGATGAGGTGGGGCTGCTGTTGGCTTTCAAACAATCCTCTGTTCAATCTGATCCCCATGGTTTCTTGTCTGATTGGAAAGCTGATTCTGCCACCCCTCTCTGCTCATGGAGGGGCCTCACCTGCTCTTCTGATGACCACGTCATCACCATCAACCTCTCCAACGCTGGTCTCATTGGCAGCCTACACTTTCCAACTCTCACGGCCTTGCCGAGTCTCCAAAATCTCTATCTACAAGGCAATTCATTCTCTGCTGCTGATCTCTCTCTCTCCAACATAACCTCATGTAGACTTGAGACTGTGGACTTGTCCTCCAACAACATCTCTGAACCTTTTCCAAGTCGATCTTTTCTTCTGAGTTGTGATCATCTTGCTTCTGTTAACCTCTCTCACAATTCAATCCCTGGAGGCAGTCTCAGCTTTGGTTCTTCTCTGCTGCAGCTTGACCTCTCTCACAATCAGATTTCTGATACAGCCTTGTTGACATGTCAAAATCTGAATCTGCTCAATGTTTCCACTAACAAGCTCACTGGAAAACTGAGTGATTCTCTTTTTTCTTGCAAGAATCTATCAACCCTTGACCTTTCAAACAATACTTTTTCTGGGGAAATACCAAGCAGCTTCCTGGCAAAGGCCTCAGCATCTCTCGAGTATTTGGATCTCTCAAGCAACAATTTCACTGGAAAATTCTCCAACCTTGATTTTGGGCAGTGCAGAAGCATCACTTTGCTGAAGCTAGCACACAACGCACTCTCTGGGGATCAATTTCCTGTAAGCCTTGGTAACTGTCAGGTTCTGGAGACACTGGACCTGTCCAATAATAAGCTTGAGAACAAAATTCCTGGTGTTTTGTTGGGCAATCTCAAGAAATTGAGGCAACTGTTTTTGGGTCATAATCATTTTTCTGGTGAAATTCCAACTGAACTAGGAAAGGCTTGTGGGACTCTTCAGGAGCTTGATATCTCGGTTAACAATCTTTCTGGAGGGTTGCCTTCAAGTTTTACATCCTGCTCTTCTTTGGTTAGTCTCAACCTTGGTCACAATCAGCTCTCAGGAAATTTCCTTAGTTCCATTGTAAGTAGTCTTCCTAGTTTGAGATATCTCTATGTGCCATTCAACAACATAACTGGTCCTGTGCCACTGTCTCTTACCAATGGTACTCGGCTTCAAGTGCTCGATCTCAGTTCTAATGCCTTCACGGGGAACGTCCCTTCAGGGTTTTGCTCCTCCAATGCTCCCTCAACTTTGGAAAAGATACTTCTAGCCAACAATTTTCTCTCCGGGACTGTGCCCACGGAACTTGGAAACTGCAAGAACCTGAAGGCTATTGATCTTAGTTTCAACAATCTGATTGGTCCAATTCCTTCAGAAATTTGGAGCTTGCCAAATCTCTCTGACTTGGTTATGTGGGCAAACAACCTCACTGGTGAAATCCCAGAAGGTATTTGCATCAATGGAGGAAACCTGGAAACTCTGATTCTCAACAATAATCTCATCACTGGAACCATTCCCCGGTCCATAGCCAAATGCACCAATATGATTTGGGTGTCACTAGCTAGCAACCGCCTTACGGGAGATATCCCTTCTGGTATTGGAAATCTCATTAAGCTTGCTATACTTCAGTTGGGTAACAATTCACTCTCTGGACAGATTCCAGCTGAGCTTGGCAAGTGTCAGAGCCTTATTTGGCTTGATTTAAACAGCAATGACCTAAGCGGTTCTATCCCATCAGAGCTTGCCAACCAAGCTGGTCTAGTCTCTCCTGGAACTGTTTCCGGGAAGCAGTTTGCATTTGTGAGAAATGAGGGTGGGACATCCTGCAGGGGTGCAGGAGGACTAGTTGAGTTTGAGGGAATCCGAGCAGAGAGACTAGAAAAGTTTCCTATGGTGCACTCTTGCCCATCAACTAGAATTTACTCTGGCTTGACAGTTTACACATTCACCAGTAATGGCAGCATGATCTACCTTGATCTATCCTACAATTCCTTGTCTGGAAGCATTCCCGACGACTTAGGTACACTGTCCTATCTGCAAATTTTCAACCTTGGGCACAACATGCTCACTGGAAATATTCCTGATAGCTTTGGAGGATTAAAAGCAATCGGAGTCCTTGATCTCTCTCACAATAATCTTCAGGGCGCTGTCCCAGGATCCTTGGGGACTCTCTCTTTTCTGAGTGATCTTGATGTGTCTAACAACAACCTCAGCGGTCTCATCCCTTCCGGAGGTCAGCTGACCACTTTCCCAGCATCCAGCTTTGAAGGAAATCAAGGCTTATGTGGCCCTCCAACTCCCAAGCTTTCTTGCCCTCAAAGCCCTCCACAAGTACTTGAAGTTACTCAGAGATATAAGACACAGACCATTCTTATTGCACTCAGCTTTGGGATCTTCTTTGGCATTGGCTTTGGTACTGGTTTTAGCATGGATTATAAAAAATTTCCAATAATTGGCAGGCGTATGAAGTAACTAATTTTGTTTGTGTGTATTTATACCTGATACGTAGGTTTGATGTGCCTTCATTTTGATCAATGTATGGGAATTCATATATCAAATAAATGACTTCGAATTTGTGTTGCCAAGATGAACAAATGTTTTAGAGATAAACATCTAATCAAATTACTCTCGACGTGTGACTTTCCCATAAAATTGAGAAGTGTTTTAGATTAAACTAACCTGATAACATCCAATTGCCAAAACAAAAAATGAATTATATGCTAACATCCACAATATTTAAGCATTGTGGGAAGTTTACATGGCTAGAGACAAATGGTAAAGCTGTTGATTTCAAATATAAACCCTACAAGGGATTACATCAATCATTAACGATTATCAGCGTAGACGAATGGGCAAGGATCCATGTACGATTATCAAACACAAATGGTAAAGCTATTGATTTTCAATAGTATTTTAGTGAAATCAAAAGTACAGTTATTAATTATGAATATATTATTCTTACTATTTTACCCTCCCTTATCCATGGCCTGCATGGGCTTGACCCAGATCAAGTCTAAAGGAATTAACTCATGGGATGTTGATTCGTCTCACGGGCAGGTTGTGTTAAGCCCAGGCCGAAAGAGAGAATGTCGCTCAAACCCTACATGTAGTTCCAAAAAATCAAAAAAAGGGAGCTAAGTTGAGGGTCTCAATCTAGCCATTCAACAATAGTTTTGAGGAACCCCCTTGTTATAAGAAGCCTAACGAACGAGTAGTTTTTGGGCTTAGTTTTAAGCTTTGGGCTGCCCTGAAGTTTAATCTCATGGGCTGTTGACTAGTCTCACCGGTCAGGTTGTGTTAAGCCCAGGCCAAATAAGAGAATGTCGCTCAAACCCTACACGTAGTTTGACAAAGAAAAGGGAGTTTCTATAATGAGGTTTCAATTTAGCCGTTCAACAATAGTTTTGTAATTCATCATATGGCTATTAAGGACCCCTAACGAACGAGTAGTTTTTGAATTATAATTTAGGTCGATCCAGCCCAACCCATAACTTTGACCCAATATATAAAACTTCAAATTCAGCTCCACCAAGTCCAATCCCAACCAGGCCCAAATTAGGTCTGGCCAAAATTAGGTGGCATGCATGAGCTTGGTTGTATCGTTATAATGAATTCAAATCAATGAAATGATATTTAAGGTTCATGGCCATTGCTTTCACTCTATCATTTGGTCGGCTCAAAATGTCAAAGCAAAAAGGGTCAGGGAAGAAAACAAAATTTGAACTCTCCCATATTGGTAGGTATGAAGAAGAAAAAGTTTCAAGATTTGAGGGAGAAGCCTAGGACAGAAACGTGGCACCCACGACTTATAACTTTTGAATGAAATTACCTTCCCTACCCATAATTATATATCATGATTACAGGTAAGAAACATTGGACCAACCTTCAATCTGCTACATGATTCAAAAGTCTTTAGCTAGATATGAGCTATTTTGTTTGTCTAGCCAATGATGCCAAAATGGTGAAATTAGTTACTCAAAGCCCTTTTAGGCTTTCACATGGCTCAAAAGTTATATATATCTTATGCAGCACTCAAAATCCTTATTTGGTTGGATCGAAATATATAATTAATCATTTTTAAATGGATATTAATAATGAATTTCAAATATTTAAAAATTTAGCGTTAAGTTGTCTATACATGTATGACTGATAACTATTGAATAATGTAAACCCTATTAGGGGTTTATCATCAATCATCAACGAAATGTAGATGAATTGGTAAAGCTCCATGTACGACTATCAACCCTACAGATGGTAAAGCTGTTGATTTCAAATATAAACCTTACAAGGGATTACATCAATCATTAACGATTATCAATGTAGACGAATTGACAAGACTCCATGTACAACTATCAAACGCAAGTGGTAAAGCTATTGATTTTGAATAGTATTTTAGTGAAATCAAAAGTATAGATATGAATTATGAATATATAATTCTCACTATTGTTATTGTTTGATAACTTGACCCCTATCCACAAAGTTAAAGGTAGCAGCAGCAGGAAAGCTTTCTTTTCCTAGTATTAGAGACAAAAATCTCATAATATCAAATCTTTCCTAGTCCTTTGAAAAGAAAGCCAAAAGAACTATTTGGGCCATCAACTTTTTCCCCTCCTGTGAACATTATCACCAAGTAATGATTATATGTAGCATTTCTGTGACATTTGCCTATTTGCTTTTAGGGTTTCTATCAAGTTAATTTCTCACATACTAAAAATCCAAGATCAAGACAGACAAGAGAAGGCTACCGTGGTGGTGGTGTGGAAGAAGCAATTGAGACGTCTATTTACAAGTTAACCAATTTCAACTAACTGTAGGGTCTCAAAGAAACATTTTATAATTTAGAAATCAACAATATCCCATGGAAAACGCAATGTACCAATTCCTACTAAAGTCAAATATTTCGGAGGCTCCACCGGAGACCAGGCTCCCTTTCCTTGGGAGCCCTGCTCTATTCGGGTTTGTTTTTTGCTTTACCTTTTGGTACACTCCAAGCTCTCTGTTCATTTGGTTGGATTAATTAATCTTCGCACGTATGATGTATGTGATTCTCAACCTGTTTGAACACATCTTTTCAAATTGTTTCGAAACATCTTTTAGATGAAGCTTTAGACCACGCTAGGATAGCCAAGAAAATGAACAATATAGTACAAATAGTTTCGTTGTTTTTTTTATCAAGAGACGAGAAAATGAAAAAGAGAAAACGAATTTTTATATTTTGGTAAATCAAATTTTATTACTAACTAGAAAAAAAGATGCACCAAATAGAGATGAAAGAGGCGCAAGTTAAAGAAGACGGGGTACAAGATTGAGAATTCGCACTCAAGCAAGTTCTTTCGTGCTAGATTACCCAAAACAGGACGTTCAAAATTTAAACGACGATCCAGCAAAGTAACAAGTCCAACTTTATCGTCCATTAGAGCATCCACAGCGGGGGGTGTATTTTCGGGGGTGTAAAGCCACTTTTACATCCCTCTTTATACCTCCGGAGGGTGTAAATACATTTTTTGCTTCAATGGGAAACGATGTAAAGCCACTTTCACATCCCATTTTCTTCATTTTTCCTCTCTTTTCTCATGTGGGTCCCGCTTGTAAAAGATGTAAAAATAGATGTAAATGGAGATGTATGTTTACAACCATTTACATGTCTCCATTGAAGATGATTCCGATGACAAACGGTGTATATTTAACATACAGCCTCTTATAGACCATTCCATTGTGGATGCTCTTAGTGTGTCTATAATTTTTTTCGTGTTTTAATATTCTTTTTTCTTCTACTTTAAGATAGTTTTATTTGTAATAGTTATTTAGGAATATTCTAGAATATTGGGTATTAGGGTTTTTTCTTTTTCTATTCAAACAATTTTAAGCATTGTACTCGTCCAGATTATGTTTTAGGGTGTAAAGCTTGTGAATCCTTTATTTGTGTTTCTCATTGTGTCACAAGAGAAACAAAGGAGATAACATGAATTTTTTGCAAAACATAAGCAAGTTACAACATAATAAATCAGGAAAAAATAGAATGTGACAAACCGCAATAAGTTTATCACTACTTAGGGGAATGAGAAAGAAAAAAGGCTATAAAAAAAACCTACCATTAAACAATCATGATAATGTTTTGATGAAACAATAAGGAAATAAGAGAGAATACAACAAAATATAAGAGATCGGTTACCTATTTTAGGGGAACGAACAAAAAAAATCAACAAATCTAACATAAATTTCACCCGAACAAACATGAGCAAATTACAATATAATAAATAAGAAAACAAGATAACACGACACACAAGCCACTGGATTGATCACCCACTTAGGGGAACGAGCAAACAATAAAGAAATATACTAACCAAAACCACTGGCGGACCTAGTAAGACGCAAGGAGGTGCAGCACATCCCCTCGCCAGAAAAACCGTCTTAGGTGCTTCAAATTGCCCCTTTGCTCGAATGGTGTACAGATTACCTTATTTCCATTTTCAACATTTAAGTAAATGTCTTTGTCATTTTACTTGTATTTATTTTTATATTACTCTATTTACTTAAGTTTACAATGTAAATAAAGAAGTACCCCCCATTTGGATTCAAATAAAAATACTAGAAAATCAAATTCCCACCAAATCAAAATATGAAAATTCGGTTTTAGTGCAAAGTACGATTTAGGCTAAAAATGATGGCTCATTAAGTCAATATAGACTTCATACTAAATCCCATAAAATCAAGTTTTTTTATTTGATGTGTAAGGAATATAAGCCGTCAAAAATTATTATTTCGAAAAACCATTTTCATACTTAGTCAATATTGCACCTTCGTTAAAAAAATTCTAGGTCCGCCAGTGACCAAAACCCTGCACCAAATAATCATGAGCAAGTTACGGTAGAACAAATAAGGAAATAATAGATATGAAAAAATTCAAAAAATTCATCACCCTTTTAGGGGAGTGAACAAAACATACAATCTAACATAAATTGTCGCAAAATAAACATAAGCAAGTTACAACACAACAAATAAGGAAATGGAAAAATACAACAGATTGGTCACCCAATTAGGAGAACGAACAAAAAATATACAAATATTATAACAATAACTACCACCAAAGAACGACAAAAAGGCTAGCATAAACCGCAGTCAAACAAACATGAGTAAGTTACGACACAACAACTAAAGCAATACTATAATACTACAAAATACAACAGACTAGTTTCCCTCTTAGAGCCCTTCCATCCGTTGCCTTCAGCCAGGGCAGGACATGGCCCAAGCCCAGGGAAGCGCTTCTAGCGAGCCATGCTTGCCAGGGCAAGCTGTGGGACCCACGCAACCAAGCCAACCCACAGGCCAAACCATCCTAACCTCTAGCCTGGGTTTGCTGATATCAGCAACAACAAAAAAACTAAAAAACTAAAAATTTCAAAATTTTTTTAATAAATAAATACTTAGTCATATCCTTCACTTCTCACACCAAAACTCTATACAAATTCATCTTCTCATATCTCATGTGAATAGTAGTTGCCATGACAATAGTTGAAACACCACAACCTTTTCCAATGGTTGCCACTATTCACTTGAATAGTAACAACTCTT